TTCATTTGGACAACTTTAAAGGTGATTTTCTCAATATTTTGATTTTTTTTTGCACCCTCAGATTCCAGATTTTCAAATAGTTGTATCTCAGCCAAATATTGTCCGATCCTAACAAACCATACATCAATGGAGAACTTATTTATTCAGCTTTCAGATGATGTATAAATCTCAATTTCAAAAAATTGACCCTTATGACTGGTTTTGTGGTCCGGGGTCACATTTATGCTCTTGATATATTATAGTTTTTGTTTATTTTGAATTAGATTTAATTTTTATTTTATGTTTTTACTTTAATTGTAGTTAAAGTTTTAGTAACTCAGTGCTCCAGACTCATTCTTCCCGCTGGTCGCTCTTTTGCGACTAACTTTGCACATGATTTGGTCACATTATTATTATTATTATAATTGTTTTTTTGCTACATCATGGGATTAATCAATGCATGCTGATGAACTTATCATAGCTTATAGTTATCTGAAAACGAAAGTGGTTAACACTCAGCCCGTTGTTTTTCATCAGTATTATCTGTGATTTGTATTTAGTGAACGGGAGTTCCTCTTTTGCTGTGTTATAAGCAGGGCTTCGGATGCTTTCGCTTCGAATTCGCGATCTTGTCACGTTTCATGAGAAAAGATAATTGTCTGTTACATGCATCTGTACACCTTTCACTTTTTAAGACTAAAACAAAATATGGTTTCTTTGTTATTCTTAATTAAAGAGCACAACAACAATAAAACAGTACGATACAATGAGCTTACAAAGCGTTAATTAACAAAAACGAATAACATGAGGCATGGCATACACCATATAGCGACTAATAAAGTTTAGCAAACACTGAGGAATCAAATAAATAAAAGAGAGGCTATATAGCGTAACGCGTCAGTCTGGAGCCCTGTAACTTTGTTAGGTGTTTTTCTCTGTGTTTGTTTATTAGTCTTAGTTATTTTAGTACTTCAAGTTAAACTAAAATGAGAAATGTTAACTTGGCAACCTGCTGAAATAAAAAAAATTAGTAATAAAATGTTTGCAATGCTTTTAATTTTAGTTTTAGTTAACTGTAATAGCTCTGATATTGACAAAACAAGTTTCCTTGAGTTTTGTTTTTCTTTTCTTATCAAGGAGCACTCTCTTGATAACTTTATATTGATTACATAGATGGACTAAATATTTAGTATTATGTTATCAAGTAAATATTATTGGTTTCACCTCAAAATCCAAAGAGAAAAAGTATTTTGAAGCTTCTTTTTAGGACCATTTATTTATTTAGAGACAAATCCACATTAATAATGCATAAAATCAATGTAAAATGTTACTTTAAAATGCCCATTTAATTAATTAATTAAAGACAAGTCCACATTAATAATGCATAAAATAAATGTAAAATATTCCCTTAAAATGCTCATTTAATTAATTAAAGACAATTGCACATTAATAATGCATTAAATAAATGTAAAATGTTCCCTTAAAATGCTCATTTATTTAATTAATTAATTAATATTAAAGACAATTCCACATTAATAATGCATTAAATCAATGTAAAATGTTCCCTTAAAATGCTCATTTAATTAATTAATTTTAAAGACAATTGCACATTAATATTGCATAAAATAAATGTAAAATATTCCCTTAAAATGCTCATTTAATTAATTAAAGACAATTGCACATTAATAATGCATTAAATAAATGTAAAATGTTCCCTTAAAATGCTCATTTATTTAATTAATTAATTAATATTAAAGACAATTCCACATTAATAATGCATTAAATCAATGTAAAATGTTCCCTTAAAATGCTCATTTAATTAATTAATTTTAAAGACAATTGCACATTAATATTGCATAAAATAAATGTAAAATGTTCCCTTAAACTGCTCATTTAATTAATTAACATTAAAGACAAGTCCACATTAATAATGCATAAAATCAATGCAAAATGTTCCAGATTTAGCCAGTGAAGTTATTTTTCATCTGTAATATTTCTGCAAGTCATTCAGGCATTTTACGTTTGAATTTATGTGCAATTCCCGTTATTCTTTGTGGTGATTTTTTCCCAAATATGAAACCTGCGTATGGCTTCAGGGGCAGAGAAGTGCTCTGCAGTAGGCTTGAGCTGGATGTGTCTCACCCGTGTTGTGTTGTGTTGTGTTCTCCTCTCCTGGCTCTGTGACCCTGTGTGCTGCTGGTTTGGCTGCGGTGTGAAGCGGGTGGCATGCGTGGCTTTGCGATGAGCGGGCAGCAGTTTCCTCAGTTCTTCACTGCGGGCTCCAGAGCGTCTCTGCTGGGTCCCATGCCGATGGGAGTCGCCATTAAAACCCCACACATGGGATTCCCGCGGCACTTCACGCCACACACGCGCTATTTCACCAGTGTGAGTGTGTATTAAACTTTGGCACATAGATATGGGTTTTTTTTTGTACATTTGAATTTCTTTCTGCCATACACTGCTGTTTGGGATCAGTAAGATTTGTAAAGAAGTCTCTTCTGCTCATCAAGGCTGCATTTAATTGACCAGAAATACAGTAAAAATTTTGTAATATTATTGCAATTTAAAATACTGTTTTTTTTATTTTAAAATACTTTAAAATAGAATTTATTTCTGTGATCAAAGCTGTATTTCCAGCATCATTACTCCAGTCTTCAGTGTCACATGATCTTCAGAAATCAGTATAATATGCTGATTTATTATCAATGTTGCTTAATATTTTTTTGGAACCTGTGATACTTTTTTCAGGATTCTTTGATTAATAAAACGTTAAAAAGAAGAGCATTTATTTAAAATAGAAATATTTTCTAACAATATACACTACAGTTCAAAAGTTTGGGGTCAGTAAATTTTTATTCTTTTTTTTTTTTTGGAAAGAAATTAAAACTTTTATTCAGCAAGGATGT